GAAGCAGGGATGTGCCCAGGACACGAGCACAAACCTCTTTCTTGAAAGAAATCATCTCTTTGAGCCTTGTGGCTTGAGCCCAAGCTGGAGAAATGATAGCCAGGAGGGTAAATACACATGGAAATGCTCTGGCCTTGCTTGGTGGGGTAAAGGCTGGATGTTCGCTGCCTGAAAATTGATTTTTGTCCCTTTTTTTATCCCCCACGTACCTTATCCCAGGTGTGACTCCTGCCTGGGACAGAGGCCGGGTACATCGTGGGGTCCGGGTGGGTAACAGGGGCTGAGCTGAAAGATAAGATGGAAATTAGTTTGATCTTACACTGAAATGAAAAAAAAAAAAATTCTTGTTCCTTGTCTAATTAATCCACCTCTTTAAAAATAACAACAAAAAAATGCTGCATTCACTCAAGTGGAAGCCTTGTGTTTTCCTCGGGGAGGTTTTCACCTGCGCTCTCCGTGGGCTGAGGTTTATTTCTGAGCAGCATCTCAAAATGGGGGGAAAAAACCCACTCAACCCTGAATAATTTTTGGCTTTTGAACAGGTGGGTTTTTTTTCCCCTCAAGATTGTTTTCTGGGATAGTGAACACGACTGTTTTGACTTCCTGAATGTGCTTTTTTGGGGTTTGATTGGAGTGAAGTTGTGATGTGGAGCATCCCCAAACTGTCCTAAGAGTTGAGGGGGGCACGTGGCTGGGGGGAGGCTGAGGCAGCACTGAAAAGCTGCCCCAAAATAGGCAAATATTGGAAAAAAAAAAAAATGCACTCTACTATGAAAACAGAGCGCAGCTCTCTTGTAACCTCCAGAAATGACCCAGCCTGCTGACTTTGAACTGCCCGTGTTAAAACAGAGGTGAAAAATGTAAACTCTTTTACGCAGAGCTGTTTGATTTCTGTGTTCCCAGCTGGGAAAATCCGCAGGAGTATTTATTATGAAACCTTAAATAAAATTATTTAAAAAACATATACATTCCTGTGGTCAATTAAAAAAAATCCATGTAGACCAGCATCAAGTTCTTTCCTTAATTTGCCATTAAATTGTTTTAAATCTTTTTATGGCGAGCTGAGGACTGACACGGGAACAGGTACCTGTGCGTCTGCAAATGCTGTGGTGAGTTCAAGTGTGGAAAAACTAAACCTAAGGGATTATTTTAAGAACATTAAGGCATTACTTAAACTTCAGCTTTTCCAACCCCCACAGGAAAACATCTCAGAGGAACCCCAGAGAGGAAAAAGGCCCCAGGGTTTACACATTTACCTCAAAATGGGCACTTCGAGTGCATCAGGGGCACCTGAGGTGCTAATGCACCATGGAGAGGGGCTGAAGCAGCCTGAGGGGAGCCCAATCCTACACAGGAAGGCACTCAGAAGAGACGGAGACACACAGACTACTTACATACGCATTTTTTTTATATATATTTATTGACTCAGACCTATCAAAAGGTCAAGTACCGTACAAAACACCTC